GTAGTAGTAGTAGTAGTAGTATAGTATATATATATATATATATATATATATATATATATATATATATATATATATATATATATATATATATATATATATATATATATATATATTTATATATATATATATCCGATAGGGATGTGCTGCTACAGGAGGTGTTCTGTCGCGAAGCAGAGTCGACGGGGTTGAGGCATATGATTTGTATCCGCTGGATGTGATACAAGGCAAGACATCACCGGATGGCTTTCACACAGCTTGTGCGATCGGCCTCAGGGCTCCCGGGTGGACTATTTGATGCTAGTTACCTTTAACTGTAGTACAAGCAGAAGGAGACACTCCAACAACAACAACAAAGAACACTGCTATGTTAATAATGTTGAGTGCTGGTTCCGTCTGGGATAGAGAGAGGCGTGGATGGGGACTTGATACATAGGGCTTTGTGTGAGCGAAAGAAGTACAGGCATCAGCAGACAAAAGATCTGTAGCCGCTCTATTTATATGTTTATATGTGCACTGTGGTTTACTTACTATACTACTACATGCACTATACTCCTAAATGTACTATACTACTACATGTACTATACTACTACATGTACTGTGTTTACTGTGCTACTACATGTACATCGAAATAATTGGAGTCTGAAGGACCACGAGCGACGTACGCCATAGAACTAATAAGGGAAACTTTTATAAACAATCGAAATGAGACTAGGTTTTTCACGAAAGATGGTTTGTTTTGATCATATCCCACGTAGAAAACTTTGGGTTTTAGGGGCTTTTATGGTTTACATTTTAGGGGTTTACTTTAGGGTTTACATTTTAGAACTTTAGGCTTTAGGGTTTTTGAGTTTAGGGTTTAAAAGCCCCCGCACTGAGACTTTGACTTAGTTCGTTTTAGGCATTAGCTCAACTATGGGGGAACCTCACCACTGCCATTCATCACTCGTTCGATCTGTGTGTGCAAATCCAGCATGCGCTTGTACTTCACAAACATGCTCTCGTATATGTCCCGAACTTCGGGGTTGGGTAAGAACGTGCAGCTCTGCCTTTGGGCCGCGACCTGACCCAGAAATTCGGGCCATGGGGTGGGCAACTCCCTGCTCAAAGTGGCAGAGGTTGTGTGTGACTGTGGAAGCAAAGGGGCGATGTGCTTTAGTACAGAACTGGTAGGATTTATATCCTATGTTAATAAGGTACCTATTTATAGAGCATATATTTATAGAGTATCTATTTATAGTGTCTATTTATATAGGAAATCCTCGGTATGCACTATAGATATATGTGCTCGGGGGGTCTTTCACCTGTGTGTAATATAGTATCCCGCACACAGCCTTCACCCCCCCCCCACTTCCCCAACGATTTCCGTATTCAACATAACTTACACTTGCACGTGTTGTGAAGAAGCATTTCATGTGAGCGAACTACCACACCAGCAACGCCATACAGCTCCGACATCAGGGCCTAAACCACCTAGAATAGGGTCTAAATATGCGCAATGCCTATTGAGTAGAATGTCTGTGAGTGCAAGGCTGGTACAACATACGTAGGGAATGAGGACACTTGCAGTCGATACACACAAACACACACCTACGTACAATATAAACTTACTACGGCTATGCTATGACAATAGGGCCTAAACCCACTAAAAGTGGGCCTAGATATACGCAATGCCTGTTGACTAGAATGGATGTACGAATACACTATGGATGCGCAAGAAAAGCGTGTCGGTGCTATCAAACGGTTATATGTGTGGACAAACCGCCCACCCGTTAGGGTAACACCTCGAACCAAGGAGTGCCAAACAGTGCTGAACGTTTTACCACTCTCGTCTTCATACTACATATTCTTTCTTCCACAAGAACTCATAGTATATCCTCGATGTGCCGTTAATGGAGGCTATGCACACCTGACGGCCGACAAACCACTACATGCCAGATACGCATACCTACCAGATACGCATACCTACCAGATACGCATACCTACCAGATACGCATACCTACCAGATACGCATACCTACCAGATACGCATACCTACCATATACTTATACCTACCAAATACTTTTTCTACCATGTTTATACCTACCGAAAACCTATACCTACCACATTCTTATACCTACCGGAAACCTATACCTACCACATACTTATACCTACTAATTACTTTTTCTACTATATGCTTGTACCTACGGAAAATCAATACCTACCACATACTTATACCTACCAGTTACTTATACCTACCACATACTTTTACTTACCGGTTACTTATACCTTCAACTACCAGTTACTTATATATATACCTACCACAAACTTATACATACTAAATACTTCGCGAGCACGGCCGAGCCCCAGGCGCACCCCTCCACGGCCGTTGCCGGTACAGTCACTGCCACGCCAAAGACATCCGAGACAATCTGGCCCGATTCTGGGGTACGGGTCAGCCCTCCTGTTAGGACAATGGAGTCCGTTCTAAAGCCCTGGGCAGCCATAGTATCACAGCTCATTCGCAGGTTATAAATAGACGAGAGTAGCGCGGCTCTGAGAGCATTTCCGGGAGTATTGTTGGCGATGGATAGGCCTACGAGAGCGGCAGTACCACCACGCACTATGTCAAGGCCTGCAGTGTGGATGCAATACGGTGTGAGTGATGTTTGGGATATAAAGTGGTTGTGTCGTATATTTGGAATAGAGTAAGACAGTTTTTACCTACCAATCAGAATCGTATCCACTGACTGAAAGTACGGGAAAAAACATAAACGATGGATGCCAATCGTATCGAGGGCTGCCAATATATATATATATATATGTGTGTGTGTGTGTGTGTGTGTGTGTGTGTGTGTGTGTATGTGTGT